CTGCTGAAAAAGTGGATGGGCACTAATGCGTTCTTTTGAGAAATAGGAGGTACATGGTTCAAAAACTCATCACATATCTGAACATATTTGGATCCACGTGTTTTTTTTTAAACAAGCAATTAATGAAATGTAAAAATACTGGGGGGCTCTGATGGTACTCACATGACTCTGTAGCGCACTTCCTGTTGTGAGCAGGCCAACCTGTAGCCCAGAGTGACTATCAAGAGTGATAATAAAGGCCAGCATCATACCGCCAATGAAACTACCCCCATGGAACTAGGAGGAACGCCTGTTTTATCCATCCAAAGACAATGGTAGTTTCAAAATTTGACTGTATAAATGCTGATGCTGTTGGTGAAACTACTGCTGATCTAAAGTAGTGCAATCAATCAATGCAGAAACTCAGACTGTACCTGTCGATGCAGAAATCAGGCGTTTGCTCTCTGTTGAGATGTGCACAGTGTTCACAGACGGTTCAGTTGAGGTGATGGGTTCAGCTTTGGGCAGTAACGTTGAATAGTTGGACATGTTCGATCCAGTCACTGAAGTCTTTCCTTCAGCTGAATGAGCCTGGACAGCTCTCCTGTCTGCATATGGAAAATCCAGATCAGCAAAAGCATTTTATTTGTTCTTATATTATAGAAATTACAATAAAAAGCTACTAGCAGAGTACTTTTATAGTGTTGTGTAAGATTTTGCTGCAATAGCACACATCTGGTCCAAAACATTGTGAATGCTGTAATCTGTGTTTTCATAGAAAACTTGAGTAAGATGATGTGAGTTAAGAGATTCATACGGCTGTACTACTTGAGTATAACTCATCAGTTGTTTACATGTAGATTGTCTCAAAACAGTGAGCAGAGAACCGTCTACCTAGACCAGTTGTTATCAGCCAGGGCCTGGAAAAAAGTATATACTTTGGTAGAAAATGTCTTCAATCAGATAAACAGTAAAACATACAGGCCACACCATTAGAATAAATCACTTTATTGGATAATTTTTGCTACCATATATGAAAGCACCTTTCAACAATACTATAAAGAAAACACTAAAAATGTCCCCGAACTGTAACCAAAAGATAATCCAATAACACCTCTGATTTAACATTTTTTTTACAGGTGCATATTTTATACACTATAGATTACAAACTCATTTAAATGTCCTGAAGTACAACTAGACTAGAAAAAAGAAAACACACACACACACACACACTGAAAACACACTGAGTTCAAGTATTCTCAACTTGAAAGTATTCAAGTTCAAGTATTCTCAACTTGAAATGTGGGCCGGGGCCCAACAGGGGACCTCAGCAAAGTGCTATGACAGCCTCAAGATAACTTCAGAATGATTTAAAATAAGACAAAACGAGCATTAAAATAAGTCCCAGATATGTATTTAGATATTTATTTTTATTTATTTTGTGAAGAAGTTAGAAGAAGAACCAGGGTTCCCACGTTCTTAAAAAATCTGAATATATGAGGGAGAATAATTTTAAAAGTGTGATTTGTAGACCTTAAAAAGCAAATGAATAACTTGGCAATTGTAAAATGAATATACTTTTTTGCCAAGATTTAAAATGGACCCTTTTCACAGACTTGACAGATGACCTCACTAAATGTCGAATGAGGAATGTTATCATGGATTTTTCTACTGGAGCAAATGGGAATATAAAAGTAGTTTCGGTTCATCACTATAAGTTTACCCAACTATGACGACTTGCACTTCTGAGAAAATGTGAAAAGGGTCCATATTTTATCAGGTAGAAATTCCGTGTAAAACACGATTTGAGGGGGCCCCGAGTCAATATGCTGTTCAGGGAGCCCAGAAACCATAGTGGCACCCCTTAAGGCAACAAAAACGAGGTGCTAATATGTAGAGGGGTCTTGCTATATGGTTTCTAGAGTCCTTTGGCTTGTTGCTAGGGCGTTTCAAGGCTGTAACTATGCTGTTTCTGAATGGCTGCTTATTAAAGTATCTAGCGCTCTGTCACTGACCCTTGTACAGCCGTCCAGCTTCTCCTCACTATCTGTGGAATTAACAAAAAATAATTAGAGTAATACGAATAGTAAGTATGAGCAATAGTAATGTTGTTTCGCAGGCACCAAAACTGACAAATTTGGCATCTTTGCCATAAGCCTTGCTTAATTTCGGACTCGGAGTCTGTTGTGCAGCTCACTTCCGTTTTGAGACAGAACCGCAATGTTCCAAACTCTGTGTACACGTATACACAATGGAAGCTTTCACAATTTTCCGAGGTTTCCACAGAGTTCTTACAATATAAATAAACAACTGAGAAATACTTACCCGATGGCAAAAACAGACAGGAATTAATGAAGATGAAACACAAACAGCGGTTCATTTTCTTTACGAATAAACTAAAGTCCTACAGTCCCAAACTAACCGACAGTCATGACGGACGAAAAAAAGTCATGACGGTCTTCTGAGTCTGCCCTCATTAGCGACGAATTTATCAAACTGCCTCAGGTGTCATTCAGAGGAACGCGTTATAAATAATATAAATAATGAAATTAGACTTTAATATCCAGTTTTAGTCAACACCAGCACAACTGGCTGACAGCAACAGCAACTGAAACTGTGCACTAGGTGGTCTTTACTTGGGGTTTGGTTTGCACATCTGTCGATGTCAGGGGCGGACTTAGTGATGGGGGCCCTAAGCAAATTTCAGGTATGGGGCCCCAACACGATAAGTATGCTCTTTTACGCCTAACCCTTATTTTGCTCGCTCTCACTCTCTCATAGGTTATAGCTATAACTATTATTTATTATAACTATTTCCCCTTCACAACTTAAGTAAATAATTAGTCAACCTGATGCTGTTCTAAAGCCATATTAAGCTACCTTATTTTTTCCCGATCACAAAAGAAGACATTAAAAAAAATGCTTGCACTTGTCCATTTAATGAATTGTAAACTTCTTCAATCTTTTTACAAATAGGACTCAAATGTCATAAAAATTATCCCATGCAACTCGTTCCGTATTCCAAGTATTCTTAAGGCATAAGGTCGGGTTTGCCGAGAAACAAATCGAAAATGTCATCTTAAGAGAAAATCTCCAGTCATTGCATTCCTGCATTTATAGGAGTGTGCGGCAGTCGCGCCTAGGAAAGGCATACAAGAGAGTCATTTTGAAACATCAAGACAAATAAAATTATGACTTGAAACACAATAATTTCTAATAATATATCTATTCTGAGGCAGTCAAAACAGCTTAGAATTCACGCAAAGAGCGCTAGCTCTGTCTATAGGCCTAATCACTAAAAGCTGTCACTCACTTCAGTTCATTGCGATCTCACGACGTTCCGTTAATAAGCTTTCTACACTGCACAATGAATCTCTTATTTACATCATATCTACACGTTGTTATAATGAGAGGATTCGCGAGCTTGCAGAACTCTGCACCTGACAAAAACTCGCCGTTTTGTGCGGTGGGTGAATATTTGACGCTCTAACACAAATACATACTGGTGGATTTGCCAAATATGTTTCGCCAATATCAGATGGGGCCCTTTTCCACGACATTCTAATTTATTGAGATGCACCTGTACGTTGTTATAATGAGAGGATTCGAGAGCTTGCAGAACTCTGCACCTGACAAAAACTCGCCGTTTTGAGCGGTGAGTGAACATTTGACGCTCTAACACAAATACATACTGGTGGACAGTGTTGGGGAAAGTTACTTTTAAAGTTAATGCATTACAATATTGCGTTACTCCATAAAAAAGTAACTAATTATGGTACTTAGTTACTTTTTATGGAAAGTAATGCGTTACGTTACTTTTGCGTGACTTTTTAAATCTGGACAGGGCTTGCTTTGTTTTTAAAATAAAAAAAGTTATATTTTTGGCAAATATAAATGCCTTTTCACACCAAAAGTGAAATGAATAAGCCTCTGGCTGAAGGGAAAGTAAATTTACGTCCGTACAGTAGAATACAGAAGAATAAATTTCAACACACTTCAGCAATAAAAAAAGACACAAATGTTTGTCTAGAGTAATTTGTGCTTATTATTATGGTTGAACTGGATCATCGAAGGTCAGAAGCAAAGACATTGGTTAATAGAATGGGATTAAATACATAAAGGATATTTGTGTTGTTTAACATTTAATTATTGCAGGTTTGCGTCATATTCTGAGTTGCATTATTTTTATTAATTTTGAGGAATACTGAATCTGTTTTTTGTTTTTGTGTTAACCTCGCCTATTGGTTAAGTCCGCCCCTGGGTGTGTGTTTACTGTAAAAAGCAGGCGCTCGCCCTGCATATCTAATGTTTCATTATTGTTTTGAAAGTAATGACGTCCAAGCAAGTGATTTGAAACTCATTTTATTTTTGCAAAGTATCACAGTCTGGAGGGGGAAATCGAAGTACATTTACAAAAACTTGACAGGAATGATCAGTTGAGCCAGAAATCCCATGGTCATGTTTTTGATACAGGATCAATTCAATTGAACTTTCTTTGCAAATGGTGAGTGAGACTGTAAGATTGTCAAAACGATGTCAAAAACAAAAATACTTAGTTTTTTTCGAATTTATGGCCACTTAATGTAAGCATGGAGTAAAGGAAGAAAGAGATGCACGTCTATATCCAACATCAGCGTTTGTGCCTGGCCCTGGTCTAGTGTCCAAAATTTCCACTTTTACAATGCATTTTGTTAAAGCTACTATAACATAATTATGACATTCATATGAGTCATATAAGTTGCTGACTTGCTGTGCACCAAAACCAAATGTTTATTATCGCTTGTGTGAGCTATGAAGGTTTTAACAGTGTTTTTCACCGCAACATGAGTCCCATGCTATGTATTAAAGGGTTAGTTCACCCAAAAATTTAAATTAGCCCATAAATTACTCACCCTCAAGTCATCCTAGGTGTA